CCCAGGAGTTTTTGGTCGCACTCGAAGCCCGGCTGTAGAAAACAACAGTCTTTTGCAAGCCTTGTTCGTGTGGGAATTTACAGTACGAACCTGGTTTTTGACGTTAGTTTCGCGGACCCCGAAAACAGCACTTTAGCCTGTAATTTACAGTACGAAAGCCATTTTCTGCTTGGAAAACGGGGTAGAAATCGTACATTTACAAGCCAAGCCACGGAGCACTGTAAATTCCCACACAAACGCCTGCTACGCTCAACTTCTGCTTGTGCGCAAGTCCTTAAAAATCCACGGCAGAATACGCACCGTGGACCTAGTTAGAATTTGGCTTTGGGTATATTATAACTTCTCAAACAGGGGTGCGGAGCTCTAGGGTCCCCATTCAGAAGTATTTGAGGGCTGTGTTGAGAAACTCCCGCATGGAACAAGCAACGAGTACACTGAGGCTCAAGCATCCTCACTCGTTAGCCCGAAGATCTTCCCCGAGCCCTGCAGCACCGGGATCCTAAAATTACCACCATGGAATCCTTGACCGTTGAAGGTTTAGGGATTAGGCATGATGACCTATTAATCCCCATATATGCCTAGGATCCCTTGCTTGAGAAGAGGCTGGCTATAGCAATTCCACGAACCGTCCGTCCTGACCAGCATGCGGGCATTCCGCTTGAACAATGACGCGGCGGACATTTGGGCTCTGGGTCAGAGCTGCGAATGACAACAGCCAAAAAAGCTTGAGCTTTCATGGTGTAAAGCAAGCGAAAGCATTTGCATGCCCGGTGTGTTTCAGCAGTTTGTGGATCGTGTCGCAGTGCATTGTCTCTTCGGCACCTCGAACAGCCGGCTGGGGCGCGCTGAACAAGATCACAAAGCACCCTCAATCTATGATGCCCAAAACCTGGCTCTGAAGACGTTGGAACTTGTAAGGCCATTAGCTTACTGCGGGTGAGTCAGTAAGACCGTAAGATATCAGTTAGGGATTACATAGGGATGACATTCCCGTATTCGCTACTAACCACCAGCAAGTTAGGTACCAACCTGAGGAATTACATCCGCGTAGGCTCCTGGCCTGAGCTCCCGCATGCAAATATACCGCGCGTGGCTCGGTTTTAGGGTTTAAGGTTTAAGGTTTAGGGTTTAGGGTTTAGGGTTTAGAGGGTTTAGGGTTTAGGGCTTAAGGTTGTTGGTTTTTGGTTTAGGGTTTAGGGTTTAGGGTTTAGGGTTTAAGGTTTAGGGTTTAGGGTTTAGGGTTTAAGGTTTAGGGTTTAGGGTTTAGGGCCCGGACATCTCAACTAGCTGGAGACTTTCCCTGGAAGGTGGCCTCTTCGGATGATGAGCTTGCATCAGCTGCATCGGCGTCTGACAGTTGAAGTTGGAAGGATGCTTCCTGAGTCGATGATAGAAGTGGTTCAAACCTCATCCGCTTTGCAATTCCGAAAAACTAGTTTGCTGTTAAGGACTTAAGTATATTGGGAAACCAGTCTAATTGCTATATATATATATACACCCATTAGGGTAACTCATTTCAAGTTTCTGAAATCCCTATATTACCCCAGTTTCCAATCCATTTTCCATTTTCTTTTCCATCTGATTCTCCATTCTAAGGGGATAATATAGCTTAATGCAAGTTCCTTAACAGCAACCCAGAAGACAGTGAGTTGGCAGCATGCACAAGCAGGCGCCTCGTCGGACATGGTAGTCTTCGGAGGGCTGCACTTACCAGCTGCTTCCAATTACTTATCTTTGGTTAGCTGGGAATAAAGGAATGGAAAAGAAAATGAAGTTACTATAGGGTATAGGGTTTAGAGTTTAGGGTCTAGGGTGGGAATGAAGGAATGAAAAGGAAAATGGAAACTACTATACTGGGTTATATGGGGACGAATATAAGGATCCATTCCTTCATTCCTAGCTAACCAAAGGTAAGATTAGTTCCTGTAGTAAACCTTTGCGGCAGTCCAGTGCACAGCAATGAGTTGTTCCAACTGGCATACCACCGGGAGAGCGTAAGCCCAATTGTAGATCTAGTAACATCGCAGTACTCATTACACGACTATTAGTGTAAGTCCCATACTTTCGGGATGCAAATTCCAGAATTCTGCCTAGCTGGAATGTCTTGGGCCTCGGTATGGGAATCTTTTGAGCCGCATCACCGAACACATCGGCACGTAGTAACATTACCGGGGTGATACATGGGCAGGGATGTATAGGGATGTATAGGTGTGTATGGGGATGTATAGGGATGTGTAGGGATGTTAAGGGATATGCAGGTTGATGTAAGGATATTATCCCAGCAGGATATGTAGGGTTTAGGATTAGCAGCAAGCAATGAAGGAAAACAAAACAAAGTGCGAACTGCCATCTGTTGCTTTTGGCTTCGGGTTTGGGGCGGTTGGCAGGGAATGAAGGAAACATAGGGGCTCATAAGCGAGTCTACAGGGACCACTATTGGGTCCATTACCTGCCTACTAACCCAGAAACTCTAAATCCTAACCCTAACCACCAGTAAGGAAGTAGGAAAATGGGAACTATCATTTGGGGCTCAGGGCTGGGATTGTTCCTCCAAAAATTGAGAATTTAGGGAAATGCAAGTGGAAAATTGAAGCATGTAGGAGTTCTTCAGAAAAAACACCCACCTTGGCTGCCCTAGAGGAAGGAAAACTGTCTCGATGCTGCAGATTCGATGATGGCCTTGCATTTTGGCTCAGCTCCGTTTTGCTTACTGTTGCTGGAGGGCGGGGATTGGACCCCATACCCCCAAACCCACGCCCTAGACCTTAAAGCCTTAAACCCTAGCCCTGAACCCTGCAACTTGATACACTTCCCCACGCATTAAACACCAGCAAGTTGAAGAACAATCCTCTCCTTTTGCAAAGAGATGCGCAAGGTCGGAGTAAAGGCTAAGCCATCATTACCCAGACCTCTGGGAGAACCCAAAACGCAGAACTCCAAAAATGATACCCTACTATTGGGTAGCTTCTATACTGGTATCACGTAATTTCTATACTGCTATTGGGTAACTTCTAGGCACCCTTTTGGAAGATCTTGTTTCCCAGGGTGTGGGTAGCGTCGGGAAGCCCCGCCTCAAGTAGAGACTGGACTCCAGTTCACGGAAAATCTACACCGAAATCTACGCATCACCTACATACTCGGTTTAGGGTTTAGGGTTCAGGAGTTTCTCAAAATTGGGGG